CGTCGTCGTCGTCGTCGTCGTTGTGTTGTTGTTGTTGTGTTGTTGTTGTTGTTGTTGTTGTTGTTGTTGTTGTTGTTGTTGTTGTTGTTGTTGTTGTTGTTGTTGTTGTGCTTTGCGGCAGATATTCTGCTTGTGCAGCCGCTAACATGACCCTCTTCATGCACACACACACACACAACGTGGCAGGTGCGAGAGAACGATGTGCTGGTGTCTGTAAACGGCGTGGAGGTGCTTGACATGCGCCACGACGACATTATTGACCTTCTCCGTCGCAACTCAACCGTGGACCTGGTGCTGTCGTCTGACCTCTCACTTCTCGGCCTCACCCTCGTGCCCGAGCGACGCACGGTTGTGCTTCGGCGCACAGAGCAAGGGTACGGCATGAAGGTGACGACAGACGAGACGCTGGGCATTGTGCGCATCACCGCCATCACAGAGAACGGGCCCGCGTATGAGTCTGACCTCGTGTTTGTGGGTGACGTGATTCTGGAGGTGAACGGCGAGCCGCTTGCTGGTTGCACGCACGAGGATGTGATCAGGGCAATGACCGCACACGACGAAGCAGAGCTGGTGCTGCTTGCTGACGACTCACCGCTGCCTGTTGCCGACCACGGTGGGCTGGACCAAGACTTTGGCGTGAATGACATTCGCGTGGTGCACTTGAAGCGTGAGGACCGCGGGTTTGGCCTGCGGCTTGCGCCGGCAGACGAGACGGAGTATGGCGCCATTGTGATTGACATTGTGCCAGGTGGTGCTGCCTCGTTCAACAAGAACATTCGGCTGGACGACATCCTTGTTGAGATTGACGGCATGAACGTCCTCGACATCGAATACGTGAGTGGCTATGCGCGTGTTTGAGGCGGGGTGGGGATGGTAAGCGCCTGTGTTACGTTTGAGGGATGCTATCGGAAACAACTCGTTTGATTGCATCTCCCCATGCTTTGCCGCTGTCTCACCTTGCCCAACAACAACACACGCATGCATGCACGCGTGCTCATGCACACATGCACATCCACACTGGGTACGTTTCAACGACCGCAGAACGAGATCATCAACATGCTGGTGAGCAAGCGGCAGGTGACGCTGACGCTGTCCAGCGACTTGGCGCTGCTCGGTCTGCAAGCCGTGGACCGGCGGGTGGTGAAGGTGAAGAACTCCGAGCATGGCTACGGCATGGAGATTGAGGCGAACCAGGACGACGGCTTTGTTCAGATTGTCAGCGTCGATCCCATCGGCACCGCCGGCCAGACCGCACAGGTGAAGAAGATGTTGTTAATGTGTGTTTGTTTGTGTGTGTGTGCGTGCGTGTGCGTGCGTGTGTGTGCGTGTGTGCGTGAGTGTGCGTGCGTGCGTGCGTGCGTGCGTATGTGTGTGCGCGTGCGTGTGTGTGAGTGTGTGTGCGTGTGTGTTTGTGTGCGTGCGTGCGCGCGTATGTGTGCGCGTGATTTCACTCTCGTTCGCACTTCTGACCTCACTCCTCGTGTCGTTTGCACATTTCTTTCTCCTACAGGTGTTCCCGGGCGATCTGATTGAGATGGTGAACAACCAGTTTGTGGGCGGCATGAGCCGAGATGAGGTCATACAGATCATGACTGAGTACGACCAGGTCGAGTTGGTGCTGCTTGGCAACGACCAGGTCGAGTTGGTGCTGCTTGGCAACGCCGACAACAGCAACGCAGGCGGTGGCGGTGGCGGCGGCGGCGGGCATGGCTCGTCAACCAGCGCCAGCCAGCAGCAGCCTGCGCTCGCACCAGGGATGCAGGTGCCACCGTCCTCAAATCTCATTACGCAAGTTGGCCCCCGCATGGGGCGTTCAGAAGAAGGTGTGCATGCGTGCTGTGTTGTGTGCATGCGTGTGTGCATGCGTGCTGTGTTGTGTGTATGTGTGTGTGCATGCGTGCTGTGTTGTGTGTATGTGTTGTGTGTGTGTGTGTGTGTGTGTGTGTGTTGTGCGTTGTGTGTTGTATGTGTTGTGCATGTGTGCTTGAGTGTGTTTGGGTTGTGCATGTGTGCTTGAGTGTGTTTGGGTTGGTTTCGTTCGTTTGTTTGTTCACAATTCATGAAGTGTCTTGCGTTCCGTTGTGCTGTGTGTCATCATCACCGTCATCACCGTCATCATCGTTGTCACCGCTCACTCGCTCGCTCATTGCTGTGTTCCTCCCTCGCTGCACACAGGTGTCATTGCAAAAGGGCGCCAATGGGTTTGGTCTCAACCTCACGTTCTCGGACACGATGCACGCTGCAGTAATTGCCAACGTGGCGAGCAACAGCCCCGCGGAGGCGTGCGGACAGCTGGCGATTGGCGACGTGATTGTTGCCATCAACGGCGTGAACACGGTGGGCGTGGCCCTGGAGGAGGTTGTCGACCTGATGCGCACGTGCGGCGAACACGTGGAGCTGTCGCTTGTGGCGGACGTGGCGGTGGTGCAGCTGCAGGACGGGACGCTACCTGTGCCATCGTCACTCCGCACAGTTGTGCTTGAGCGCACCAAGGAGACGCCCCTCTATGGGATCCACCTCACCACCACCAATGACCGCGTGCGTGTGAGCGAGATTCTGCCGTGCAGTGCTGCGGATATCAGCGGGGAGGTGTTCCCTGGCGATGCCATTGTGGCCGTGAACGGGGTGCTGATGGAGGGCAAGACGAGGCAGGACGTTGCTGATGCCATTCGCACGCAGCAGCGCGTCGTGCTCGTCTTGGATGCCGACATTTCCCCGCTCCCAGAGAACAACGACATTGTGGCGGAGGTGTGTTTGCCTGTGTGTGTGTGTGGGGGGGGGAAGTGTTTGTTGAACTTGATGCACGTTTGCCTTTACTTTTGCAACGGGGGAGGGGGGTTGCTTTTGCGCCGTAATCTCGCACGTGTTCTCACTGTCATGTGCCTTCCTCTCCGTTGTTGACGTTGCAGGAGCTGATTGAGCTGACGCGGAAACCTGGCGAGTCGCTTGGGTTTTCCTTTGAAACGTTTGACAACACCCCGGGCGTGTTTGTTAAGCGCGTCAAGTCCATGGGCGTCGCTGCCAAGGACGGAAGACTACGCATTGGCGATCGCATCATCGAGGTATGGTGTGTGTGTATGTATGTGTGTGTGTATGCGTGTGTGTGTGTGTGTTGGTTGGTTGGATACACTTGTCTCCGCCTGATGTGTTGTTCTTGTCTGTTGGTCACATGCTCGCTTTGTGCTTCAGTTGCTACAGTTGTGCCTCACCACTTATCCTCCCCCCCCCCCCCCCCACACACACACACACAACTTCTCCCCTCCTCCTATC